AGCCGTATTAGGTAGTTGCTAAACAGCAGTTCTTAGGGAGCGCTCATCTGCCGCTCAGTAATTCGCCCTCATGTTTTCTACAAACATGGGCAGTCGCCAGCAAATTTGCCGAGTATAGACGCAGCCTAACCGAAATCCTTGATTAAGGGAACCTATGTCCTGATAGAAAGCAGGACCTCCCTGAGTTCACCCTGGCTCAAGTCAAAAATGAAGGTTTGCATGGAAACTGAATCAGGACCTGCCTAAGCTAATGTCTGATTTCGCTGCGCCTCGTAAGGCCGATGTCAGACTTTGCGAATCGCGCGATTCGCTAGCGTCTGCGGTCGCGTCGCGGCCAGTGAATCACTCAATTGGCTGGTACCGCAACGCGACCGCGGACGCTAGCGAATCGCGCGATTCGCAAAGTCTGACATCGGCCTGATGCGTATGCCGCTCGCGATGGGACTGCGACGCCGCGGCACCGCAGTCTCAAGTCTTCGCTCTGAGCAGGATCAACCTTAAAGTCACACTCCACAGAAATCTTATTGAATTAATAGCTAATGAGGTGTTTAGGTGCTGAAAAGGGACGATACTTACTTCAATTAGGGCACGAGTTCGTTTAAAAATAACATTCTCTACCACCCCTCTCAGGTCCATCTCAAACTGTTTAACGTCTGCGTCTCACTAGTCCCCCGTGTTATTTCATTTCCTAGAAAAAAAAATGAATCGAATGAAATGACAAGATGATTTTTTCTTCTGTTTTCTTGTTTTGATGACCAGTATTTCTTTGTCGTAAACTCGCACAATACTTAAGAAATGCTGCAAGAAAACTTTTTTTTTATTTTTATGCCCAATTCTCCCTTAATGTCAAGCTCCTTGTCACCCAGATTCTAGTATTATACATAAGATCATGAATTACACATAATCATACAAAACTTTTATTGAGCATAAAGAAACAACGTAGGAAACTTCTAAAGGCGATCACCGCATGCTGAAAGACACGCCTGTATTTTTTAAAAGGGTCAATAATTTGCAGAAGTTGTTACGAACGATCAGTAAGGATGACGATGGGATGACAGTGAATGATCGATAAGAAAAGGGATGATCGCTAACAACAAATCATTCATTCTGTACGACTGTTTTGCTCGTAGTGACATCAGAAAGAGATCAAACAGCCCATTAGTACTGTGATGTGAGGACGACATGAAACTAGTAATTGAAAGATTATTTTTGTAAAACTAACAGTATACTCGCTTGTTATTCCGATGATGCTACTAAAGAGCAGCTGTGAAAGAAATTAACGAACCGATCAAGCGGATCTACTTTGCAGTTCAGGCCGCCACTGACAACTACCGTAACGCTATAGAAAGCTGACTCGGAACGCGCTAAAGCTACCCTACTTCAGTGGCGGAAAATCCGCTGAACTGAAAGAAGCTGGAGGAGCAGGAGGCTTCGGAGGGAAAGACACTGATGGATTGGAAGACTTGGAAGAAAAACCTGGTCGAGCAGGGGTTTTCGACGAGAAACCTGGTCGAGCCGAAGATTTCTGAGCGAAAGACGTTGGTGGACCGGAAGGCTTCGGTGACGGCTGCTTCTGAGGATTCTGAACGACGCTTGGCACGTGATCCACGAGTGTAGTTGAAGTGTGGCTGTTGAGGAATCTCCACAGGAGGACGAGGTGCTCCAGCACTACGTGCGTAAGAATGACAGCGATCCGCAAGCGGGAACCGCTGCAGGCGTGTAACACTGATTACCGACAGCCAACTCATCCAGCTTCCAAAGCCTGAAAACCACTGAAAAAATAGGCGGATCATGAAATTGAATGGGTTCCAGAGAGAACTTACACATCTCCGATGGCATAAATTGGTTGAAATCCGGTGTAAGGTAAGGTCCAGCGCATCTAAAAACCATTTTTTAGCCCAGGCAAAACGAAATTCAAGAATCTTTCAGAACAATTTTTGGAAAATCAATGACCCTAGTGAAAACTTTGACCAACTTACAATTCGGGCAGCATCATTGGTGGTGTTTCTAGTGGAGCACAGTTTGAGAAGTAGCTAGCCAGATCAGGGATATGGTTCATTGCACCACCTGCACCAATGGTGACCGCTAAAATCCATTAAGGTGATTATTATGCTCAGAGATGTAACATTATACTCTCCCCAACGTCACGATACTGTCGACTCTAGCCATTTCTTACGAGCGATCTCGCCACTTGCGTGATGCCCTGTTTGGAACATCGCGCGTCTCGCCGCGGAGCGATCAGACCGTCCATTAATATCGTGTTATTTTAGAAAACTACTCACTTCTGAACGTTGGCGAACAATGGTAGCGGATGTACTGGTGACATAGACGACACATTTGCTGGACTTTTCGGTGATTTTCCTTTACCACACGTGGATGACGTTGTGGAGGTGACAAGAGTTCTCTTTCTTAAAACAACTCTTCACGAAAAGAACAAAATGATCTTAAATCACGTCAAATGTTTTGCTCATGAATTAGCCCCTTGTGCTAATTTTAGCATAACAAAATGCGTGAAAACAGCAATTAACAGAACAAAACACCAATAAGATTTAATGATAAGCTTATTGTTTCCAACCTGGTCGTCAGAATCATCTTGTGATAATGGTCGCAGTGAACAGAGAAGAGACGATACCTATTACCCCGACGAAGACTGCGGCTAGACACAACCTTGGTAAACTTGATCGAAATTGTCGTCAGATAACACACTTCCAGGGATGATCTCAAATCTATAAAGAATTATGGTTATCTACATAACAAAATACTTAAACTAACTCAATTAAAATAAGTAATTCATCCAAAACTAACGCTGCCACAGTGCTCCTATGTAGATGGCACACAGAAACCACAGGAGGTGTCCAGATTGAAGATGGTGTCGGTAGTCTTATCATGGCCCATGGCATGTGATATGTTGTTAGTAATTGTTAGGGAGGGAAACTCATCTGACGACTAAATGGATATTTTTCCTAAGGTGCGTGACAAGTTTCGACAATGAAACGCTTGTTTAGAAAACATTTAATGCTTAAAAAAGCCGATATGAAACAGGAGGACAGTCGGAAGGGAAAGATGGAAAAAGAATTTCTTTGTTATTCCGATGAGAATGACCGACCAGAAAAGAATTAGCTCGGGCGAGAAAAGAGTGTAAAGCTCAAGCAACCTTCAGAATCAAGAAATTGAGAAATTAGAAATCAAAGAATCAAAACTGGACAGCAATGTTATGTAGACCTGTCAACCACGCTATGACGAAAACGAAAACCCTATAAAACAAGCTTCCAATCAATCGCCGCCGCCCAGTCCCGCTCCATAACATCGTTGTTACTTGATGTCAGCAGCGCGAAGATGAGACGATACCCGAACAATTTCCTTCAGCGCATCACATGACACGTTTGTTCCCTCAGCAAGGAGCAGCTGGAAAATTGACTTATTTAAGCATTCACGAAATGTAAAAGTGTGTTAATCATAACCTGAAACATATATGAATGATAAGTTCGTAACCCAACCTCTCAGCTCGGCCTCTTCGCACTTTCAGAAGACGATGAAATTGCGCTTGAGTGTACCGTCGAGAATTTACCGCTATCCAGTTTTTGCATCTTGCCAATGCCGCTGAAGTCCTGCCCTGAAAAAAGAACGAGTGATAACAAAAAAAGACTCGCTGGAACGATAGGATTGAGTCATCATAAACAAACATACGAGCTAAAGTTGAAGCAAAACGCCAGTGAGAGGCTTGTGATGTTTCGAGCCGCTGCGTTTGTAGTGTCGCTGAGTTCCTAAAGAATTAATACTTCATTGACAGGAATTATTGATGTAAAACTAAAATCGATTGCTAATGACAGGCAATAATACCGTGAGAAATCGATCTGTTACAGCCGTTATGCCCTCCAAACAGAGGTTTTGAAGGCGAGGAAGGCGCGCCAAATGACACAAGGCAGAAGCCGATAGATCTGAATAGTGGAAAACTTACGAACCCAATGAATGGAATGAAATGTATAGTTGTGACTAACAATGTGCAGGACAAAAAAAAAGAAATGTTATAATTGTAAATAAAGAATTGTAAGAAAAAACAACGGGGTAGACTACCTAGGTTAGGTACATCAGGATTTCCAATAATTGAAAGATCTCTCAAGTTCTTCAAATTGCTCGCTAACGAAGTAATGAGCTGATCCTTCAAGAATTTTCAGCTCAGACACGTACAAAACCTAAAAATCTCTTTCTCAACACAAACAATCAATAAACGAAGGAAAAGAATGAAGTACTTATGAGCACCGATGAGTAGAAATTTACACCAATGAGTAGATGAAGACAGGACACAGGTGATGATTGATTGAAAGAAGAACCCCCCCCCCTAAATGAAAACACACTTACCTCAAGATTTTTAAGACGATTGAATATGCAACGCATTGAAACCTCGGACATTCGCAAACACATTTCCAATTCCAACCGTTTCATTCCTATGGGAACAACCTAAAGAAACGGCTATGAATCATAAAACGCTATTCGAAGCAATGGGACAAAATTCACACAAGGAAAAGATTAGAGAATGTATTGAACTAAATAAAGCACACTAAGTAAGTGTGATCCTGCGCACTATGGTCAAATCTATGAAGAAATACATTTGTTTCTCAAACATATAAGACAACAAACCTGGAAGCAATGTCCACTTAAGTATTGAGCGTCGATGCAGAGGGTTTCAAGTTGTGGGCATTGGCGGAAAATCTGAAAACAATCAAGTTAGAGTCAAGGAAAGTGACATGTACCGCAACTTTTGTCGGGCAACGAACGACGACATGTTCGGGACCACTAATCGCGAAAACCAGTACTGATGGTTAACAAAAGAAAAGAGGGACAGAGAGAGCGCAGACTACATGTGCCGGTGGTATCTTACCGTTAAAAGATCTGTGTCTCTCAATCGATGACGTTTGCATACTAAAATATCCAGTTCCCTGAGGTTGCTGCACATTTTGACAGCAGTTATCACAGACTGACGCCAGCTCCATTGAGTGCAGGCCTAAAACATCTCTGTTCGGCTCACAAACTTCACACAAGGCTTCGTTTCAAATCCAAGAACAAGGGAACTAACCTCATCCTCAACGGAGCGAAACAGGTCAAAGTTAATGGCGTTAATTTGCGGACCATGAATGCTTAGGAAGTATTTGATTCTTGTATCACTAAGTTCGTCTAGTTGAGTCTTATAAAAGGCAACTGAGGTGATTGAGCGGTAAACGCAATCGCGAAGTGTACGACAGACGCGAGCGATCATCAGGGTACGAACTGAAATATTTCCCTCTGAGAACATCTCAGAATTAAAAACAAAATACAGCGAAAGAACATGAAAAATTGGGTTCACAAAGAGGAAAAAAGTAAACCTGCCTCGGGTAGTACGGTATGTTACTCACCTTTGAGTGGAATGTATGAGACTATTCTGTCTAGAACGCTAGTCGGTAGATTTAGTAAGGGTGAAAGCTGTATCTGAAACATTTCTTGAATTGAAAAATGTAAAAATAAATAAATTTCTGGGTCTAATTCCAACAAACTCATTCCGGAAGAAGATTAAGTAGGATATAGAGCCTAAATTCTAAATAAAACCATAAAAAACATACATCGTTATCTTCATGTGAGGTCAGAAATGATGAAAAAGTAGGCGCTGTTAGTGTATCCATGTTATCAAGTATCGATGATAGAAAACCAGACGATGGCATCAAATTCATAGTGAATACCCGAGGAGCCGCTCAGCGCGGCTTTTGATCAAAATCTGAAAATAAGTGAATCAAGAAATGATATAAACTCAACTCAAACTCCATCATCATTCTCGGAATCTTCATTGAATTCAAAAAAAGAAAGAAAAAAAGACCAGCTAAAAAGAAACTGGACAGTTGGAACGAGGATGGGGTCTTATATCCTTCCCATAATAAGGTTAACGATCACACTTACTTTAACTACTAAATCTATAGGTAATAACAAGCTTGAGGCTGGAGCACGCATCTGAGCGGGGCGCTGAAAATTTCTGTAACGTTAAGGTAGAGGTAACTGATGTCTTAATTCATTTTTTCCCATGCTCACTCATTTCAATCCTCGTCCCCCTGCACTTCAGCAACATCCAGTTTTGTGGAAAATGGTCCCAGATTTTTCAGTGTTCCATTTCTAGAACCCAAATGTGAATAACTGTGACGTTAAGTTCAATTGTGAACGATTGAAGGGATTAGAGAATATATGGAAAGTTATGCAGAGGTCAATAGCAAACTTCAACGTTAAAAAGTTGAGGTTTGCACCGACGATCAAACGATTTGAAAGGAATCCCAGGCGACCCTTCAAAATAGTCTTTACAAACTTTAAAATGAATTTAAGCTAGAATGAAAAAGGGGGACAGGTGGTGTGACAGCATCTTATGTACAGAGCCGGTTGAATAAAACAGGACTGGATTTCAGGTGTGCAGTTGGGGTGGGGGGGAAGGGGAATCGCAGCACAACTGTTCGTCCTGGTTACAAAACTCCCGCATTGCAGGGACAGGAGAATTCGAGGTGGGTGAACTTGTTTGTTTAAGCAAGAAGGGAAATAGTTGAGTACGGGGACGAAATTGTTTGCCATAGTCTCAAATACCTGGCCGCTCTTCATGTTGCATGTTTCTTCGAACGCATGTTCTTATTCGGGAACTTCCATTAAAAAAAAACTAAGATGGATTTCTAGTGATTCCCATCCAGTTTTAGGCGCAATGTGGCTCGGGGGGCACCTCGCAACATCGCGTCAAAATCACGGAAACGCTCCGTTTTAGGACTAAGCTTTTGAAGAGGAGAGGAACTCCGGTGTACGGAAGCAATTTTCGTATTCTCCGGAGTTCGTCCCTGCTGTTTAGGCTTAGTCCTAGATGACTTTTCTCAGAGTGCCCCCCCCCCCAGCCACCCAGCGCCCCGCGCACCACATGGCGCCTTTTATTCCTAGTCCAAAATAAAGAGTGAATTTATCCATGTTTCGTAGCAAAACCCACCAGGGTTCCTTATAGTGGCCAAAACATAAGTTTGTAATATTCCATGAAGATCTTAGTGTCCTAATAGTGTGGGAAAAAAATGATAGAACTTCCGAAAAAAGTATGATAAACAGGAAACACTTCTTCAAGTAGACGCTGCCACTTTTTGAATGCAAGGAAGATTTCAAAACAGTGCGCGTTTGTTGCGCGCAATGTACGTAGACTGCAGAAACTATATGGAAAAGAGCGGCAATTTTGGAATTCACTTTCTCTATTCAAATAAGGAAGGCTTCCTCAGATTCACTTTTTTGCTTTGACTTTATATTCACTTTAATTCAAGCTGCACTATTCGCTTCATATTTGATTCCGCTCGAAGAGAGTCTTGATCCTTTTTAATGGTGCTTTTAGACCTTTCCTATGTCGCACTTGTAAAGAAGAGGTCAGGTATGCGCCTATCGTCGTTTCTCTATTGTTCACTTCTTCAATCGAACATTAAAGCCGGTAGATCTCTTTGGGGTGGGTGGGGAGAAGTGGTTCACTAGGATTTTGCGAAATCAGAAATTACACTGTTCACACACTTCTGCCGCACCTTACTAGGTTCAGGTTAAGCGCCATCGCGCTTGAGAGCCGTCCCCTCCCCTCCTCCCTTCCAACCCACTTAGCCCTCTTTTTGCTCCGAAGTAGTGATTTTTTGAAGCATCATCTGACTGCCTGGTGTCGGATGCAGCATTGGGTGCTAAGTGAGGTGGGGAAGGGGGACCATGCCGCGGCGCCGTTTTTCATGCGCGATGAGACTGAGCCTGAGCCTACGAAGGAGTGGGTAAGCTGTGACCATTATGGTTTGTGATGAGGCTCTTTCTAGGCGCACGGCTTCCTGCGCCTAGCAAGAGGCTTATGGCAAACCATAATGGTCACAGCTTGCCTTATGGCCGTTGCGTTGGCAGAAAACCGCGCCCGCTTGGTCCCCCCCCCAACTCACTTAGCACCCAGCATAGTTTGGCGGAAATGCCATCTTGATTTGTCTCCGGTTTGGGATGCGGATTTATCCTCGGCAGGAGACGTAATCTTTAAGGCCGATGTCAGACTTTGCGAATCGCGCGATTCGCTAGCGTCTGCGGTCGCGTCGCGGCCAGTGAATCACTCAATTGGCTGGTACCGCAACGCGACCGCGGACGCTAGCGAATCGCGCGATTCGCAAAGTCTGACATCGGCCTTAAGACGGTAACCAAGATATGGCCCCCATGCTTTCGACGAAAATCTATCCCAATGGCTTTGTCTTTGGCAGCTGAAACAATCGCTGGTTACATTGTTTCGACAATGACATGTCTTTCGTATATTCAAATTCGCTTATAGATCGAATGAATTTGAATAATTTGAACACTACCGCCACTGAATTTGCGTCAGCGACCAAAATCAATGGTGTTCAATTTGTAGCTGATTTGCAGTGGCTTCTCGATTGCTGCGACGAACGATTTTTGACGGATACAAGTAAATGGTGACTTGTGTTACTTGTTCTTGTTTAATTCAAAACTTGATTGATTCTGAAGGTAACCAAGTCTGTTCGACTTACTAGACTAGTCGTAGAAGAGGGATGGACGGGTTGCCTTTCCATAAGTCTGGGTTGGATCAGATTCGGTAATCTATCTAAGGACCCCTAATATAGAAGGGGTGTCGTTTTTCTTCATCTGCACCTGCTTAGAAAGAGAATTTTCCGTAATTCACACATTGGATTCTTGCCAGCGCTTCTAGTCATTTTTCGCGTATTATTAGCGAGTTCTCAGATATCCTCTTTTCTTAAAAACCGTAAGGAGGTGAAGACATCCTTTACCTGCACCCCAACACCCATTTTTCAAACTCTTCCTCATCAAATTTTTTCGTTGTGTAGGCGACTCCCATGATGAAAACATTTTACCCTGCCATGACTGTATGCATGCTCGAGCTCCCTTCTAAAGATTCGAGTAGGGGGAAGTCGAGAGCAAGCTGCGGGTATTTTTATGCTAAAGAACTTTTGGGTAACCAGTTGTGCTCGACACGCTTCCAGTCGAGGAAAACATCAACAGCGTTCTGGCAGACTGCGACCGTTTGAAGTTGACTCTGAAAGATCGACACGCATGAGTGAGGCCCCTTTAATAACTCCCGCCATTGCAGGATGTGTGAAACGACAGTGTTAAATGAATCAACAAATAACTTACTTTGGTAGCCCCTCCAGGGGAGCAAATGATATGAATTGAAGTGACAGATGCTTATCCTGTTTTACTGCACCTTTTTGTTGTGCCAATTCTTGGTTTTCTTCCGGTCAAAACGTTTCTGTGGTGTTTTGTGATGGATCACAGGAATTTGTTCACTGGTTCCCTGCCATCCTTCCAAGATACTTCATGACCCGATACTCTCACAATGAGCTCACCATGTGTCATAAAATTTCGTGATATGGTCATTTTGATGAACAATTTGTTTATTTATTAGGGTGTTAGAGATTTTGGCATACTGTCCAGCCACATGGATCAACGATTTTTCTGATATACTTGCTAATACGTCTGGTGATGGAGCAAGTTCTTCCTCTCGTCCTCCAGTGAGTTTCAGTTTTTTCAGCTCAGGAATCGCTGAGCGGTGTGATATCTGCTATCTTCCTATTCTAGTGGCCGATGTCAGACTTTGCGATTGGAGCGATTGTGCACAAATTGCAGGAGCGACGGATCGCTTGAGCGATCCATCGCTGCGAGCGACGGGAGATTTACACGGCCGACCAACGATAATTCGGCGCCATCAGCTCGTAAATCTCCCGTCGCTCGCAGCTCCCTGCCAAGGCACTTATCACGGCCCGATCGCTCTAAAGTGCGAGCGACGGGAGATTTACGAGCTGGTGGCGCCGAATTATCGGTGGTTGGCGGTGTAAATCTCGCGTCGCTCAAGCGATCCGTCGCTCCTGCAATTTGTGCACAATCGCTCCAATCGCAAAGTCTGACATCGGCCAGTCGGCTCATCGGCTGGTCAGGAGAGCCATAGTTGTAGTTCAAAGGGTGCTCCCTGGGGTGCTTACTTTCCAAAACGAATAAATAATTCCTTGGTAGATCCATGCTGTCCGCTCGCTATGGTACTCGCAAAATTGACAAATTCCATTAACGAATTCCAATAATGACTTGCTCTTTCAACTAGTTAGCATTCCCCCTAAATATCTTTCTTCTTTATTGACTCCTTTCAATGAAGCTTTGCAATTTACAGCCCGTCATACATTCAACGACAATAAGTCTTGGTAATCGGAATCTGTTATTTGGAAAGAATCTCCTACTGAATCGTGATTTCGCTCGAGCGTCATTTTTCCTGAAGAGAGCCAAACTTGTTGGCCCTGTAGAACGATTCCTATACTACTGGAGCAAATATTTGGTGAGCTTTTCATCAGTCGTTTTCTTCGCAATCATATCTAACTCAATTTTTTGAGGCGACTAATGAAGCGTGTTCTGATAGAAATTTCATGCTCATTTTCTGATTATTTCATATTTTTTCTCATTAAGTTCTGTGTTCGAACGCACTTGGAAAATGAAGCGGAGGCAATTGATAGAAAAGCAGTTGAACATAGCGACGACAGCGATTTTACAAAATTGTTGCGGGAAATCGGCCGAGAACCACGCCCGCTCGATATCTTCCTTCTATATTTGTGAGTGTTTAATACCTTTTCATACAGAAAGCTGTGAATCGGTGTTACCCATTAGCTCATGGCCTTATAGTACTCTCGTATAACCTGTATAAATTCAAAGTCAGCATCAATTTCACAGCTTGAATTTCTGGGCCTTCAATGAGAAGTTCTGGCTTGAGCACTCCCTTCATGATCCTTCCTTGCTGCTTTGAAATGGTTAGTCGATTTCTACTACTATTTTGCAGAGAGGGAAAGATTCAAGCCTCACTGGGCGTTTCCCAAGCCGCTGCGGCAACTATGAAAGAGGTGCTCAAAATGGATTCTCGATTTTGGCCTGCATGGCAAGAGCTGGTACAATTGATCGATAATGTAGATGAAGTAAGCATTTTGTGTATTTTTTCGTAGAATGCTTTATTTAGCGTCCTGTTTGATAGAGAGATTTAGATTGCCGCATGCAAAGCGTTATGCACGAAGAGCCCCGAGACCTCGTGGATGCCCGATTGGTTTGAGAGTTTAGCGTTGTCGCGATTCCACATGGACGCGTAAGGAAGCACCTTTTTGTTTTTCTCATATCTTCTGAGAACTGGCTCTTGTATTGAAGTGAATTATTCAGTGAAGCCCTGAAGAAAGCTGAACTCCTGGTAGCTCGTGGACTGCCGGGAATACCGATGATTCTAACACAAGTTGCTGCGTGTTCTAATCATCTGCACGGTGGGTTGCTTTTCCGAGAAAGCTTTTTTTTTGTGTCGGCAAGTTTTTTTGAAGTCAGATTAATATATTGCATTACATAGAATTGCTCTTTAATTTCAAAACAGCTATGGTAACTGAAGCGCATGTTGTGGGATAAATGGTGGGGCTGTGATAAGGGTAAACATTAAAGGAGGACATGATATGTCTGGAGATCGAAGAAAAGGAATTATACCTAATGGGAAGACACGCATGCCTCTTGAGGATATGACGATGCGCATTTCGCAGCAAAGCGTATGCCTTTAGCAGGGTAAGCAGTAGGCTTACCGGAGACAGCGACCTCCGTCCCACACCCAACCCTCGCGCGGACCCGGGATGCCCGTTCAGCTTGGACCCAGAGCATGCGTTCATGCTGATGACATCAGCACCGATTGGACCCGCTCTGAGGCGAAAAACAGCGAGCAAAAAAGTTCTCTAGATTGCGGGTTCTTGGTCATTCTAGGTTTATTCTTCATTTCAGCATGACTAACCACTTTACCCTAATTTTCATAGAGCTGAAATTTTATTCGGAACATGTTCCGTTTCTCATCGTACATTCAAAATATTGGCGCCGAGCCGTCCGGATCGCTGATCTTTTAAATGCGAGGGCACAACAAAGTTGGAAAGTGGCATCCCCAGAGTTCATAGTCAAAGTTTGCGATTCAAACGTTCGGCGATAACGACAGTATGATGTCAGTCTTTTGCGCAGTCACTGCATATTTTTTCACCCACCGTGTAATTCTTCATGGTAAACCTCTCGTTTCTCGATCCGCACTGTCGGCCTAATAGAGTAGTCAACTGTCTCAGAATGCCGTAACTGCAACAATGAGCAAAAACGTAATGGAAAACTCTTTCAAAAGATCCACTGCGCATAGTTTCGCCTCAAAGACTGCAATCTGGTGAAATGAAAACAGTAGCATCCGTCGATTGCTCATCAGTTTTATGGTTTTAGTACTTCAGACCACGAGAAGACAGTGGAACTTTTCAAGTGCATTCGGTCCATGGATCCTCTCAGAATAGAACAAATGAACTTGTATTCCGATTCTTTGTATATTCGGGTAAAGGTTTTAGCGATTTGATATGTCGACGAATCGATGCAGATTTGAGAATTTTCAGGGGGATCGTGTTCAATTGTGTGATCTCGCTCACTCATTTTTTGAAACCCACAAGTATTCGTTTGAGACTTGCTGTATCGTAGGTAAGTTTACCTTGTTAATTTTTCCTTGATTTGAACGAGAATTGCTTTCACGAGCATTCATGTTGGGACAGTTTGACTTTGCTAAACATTTTAAGGTAATTATTACGGTCTTCGACGCGAGAACGAACAAGCGATTCGGTTTTTCCAGCGCGCCCTTCGATTGAACCCCGGCGTTGCTTCCATTTGGGTACTTGGTAGGTCATGAATTCATGGAGTTGAAGAACAACGCTGCGGCCTGCATGTCGTACAGAAGAGCGATCGGTGAGTGTCACTTGATGAATTTGCTCCAAAGTACTGTTAGGTTAGATTTTGTACGCTTGTTTATAAAGTTTCTCATTGAGTTCTGAATTTGACCGTATTGTTTCAAAATTTCATGTTTTGATTTTCAGAGGTAGACCCGCAAGACTATCGGGGCTGGTACGGTCTTGGACAGATGTATGATATTATCAAAATGCCAACATACTCGCTGTTTTATTACCAGCAGGCTCATCTGTGCAAGTAAGCATTTCTTGATATAGATAGGATGTGCAGCAAGAAGTCACCGCGCGACGTCGCCCTCGCTTGCAGTTCAACTCAGCGCATCGAATGGGGCTGATTCGCGTGTTTCACGCAACGCACTGGATCCATTCCTACCCCATTTGGTTCAGTAATTGAACTGGTGGTGGTCAAGGCTTCGCGCGATCACTTCCTGCTGCTCAACGTATAGATCGGATCCTGTTTTGAAATATACGTTGTGAATTTAGACCTCAAGACTCCCGTATGCTGGTTGCACTTGGTGATGTGTACCAGAAAATGGGACGGCTTCGCAACGCTGAAAAATGTTTCATCTCAGCGTTTAAGTATGGTGATGTGGAGGGTAACAGGCGCTTTGGATGCTAGCCAAGTGAGTGTTATCTTCTCTTCAAAAAGAGGATCTTTCAAATTTTCTGGCTTTCCCTTTTGCATTTTTGGTCACATAATACTTCTCAGTTTACTATTGTACTTGGGAGCGTAATTGACAGGCCAGTATTGGTGAATATTTCAAAACATGGTTATTCCTGCATAATTTTTGCAAACTCGTAAGAGTTCTGCTCGTTCGTTCCACAGAGCCGTAGTACTGATCACATTATTTCTTGCAGGTTGTATGAGTCTGAAAATCAAATGCAGCGTGCTGCGAGATCCTACGAAGAATATCTGAGGGAGTATCAAGACATAGAGGTACGTACGATAGGCTTCTCGCGGTGTGGCAGTATGCCTATGTCGGTGTTTTTAGGATACTGACGAAAATGTGGTCTACTGTGTACAGTTCCTTGCCAAGCACTATTTGGAACAGCGTGATGTGGATAAAGCAATTTTCTATGGCCAAAAATGTCTGCAGCATGATTCGGTAAGTTTAGGTCAATAGACAACGAGCTGGCGCCTAGCGACCTGGTTGAGGACCTTATTTCCTTGTAAGAAATTGCGCTCCTCTCGGTAGTAATAGTTATGTTTTTATGGTTTTTAGATCTCGGAAGAAGGTCGCCTAGTGCTGCGGACAGCCGAAGCGATGAAGGAGCAACATGATCATGATAACGCCGGTGATATGAATCCAATAAAGCCAATCGATGATTCGTTCAACTCAACGGGTGGATTTGATATAACTCAAGGAACCAGGTAAGTGGTATTTTTCGCGTTACTCAAGTGGCCGCCCAATTTCTTGAAAATAAAGGCGTTATTGGTGCTTATCTCATTGCAGCTGTAGGACCTTCAGAGTCAACATTAACGGACGTGGTAGTAGTTAGACATAAAAGGAGAAGCTATAAGACGTGATATAATTTTTTGTGATTATTCAACTTGTTCTAACTCGAAGACGGGGGGTGTGGGGAGGTGCAGATATCCTAGAGCAAATCAGGCATTTTCTCTTCTTCCAGATCTAGTAACATTACCGATCGCGGAAAAATAGAATCGCGATTAGATCCGGCGCTCGACCACTACTCGCCGTAAATTGCGCCACGTTTACACTATTCTCAGCCGTTCCAGCAGGAGTACCTGTCATTGCATGAAGTTAAAGTATCCAGCCTAGCGCAAGTCGCTTCCAACCTTAAACGCTTCGATGAGGTTCACTGCTTAATCTGGAGGCAGTTTTTAGATTGCATGTGGATCAAAATGTAAAAATAAAATGAATAAATCGATAAAATAAATATAATAATAAAGGGGCGTTAAAATGTACCATTTTGGAACTATGGCTCTACAAAACAGAGACGAGCATTGTATGATTTCACTAAAAAACTTTTAATAGTGGCAGCTCCACAATACGCGGCTGTGGCCAGATAATGGTGGAACTGGCTGGCACAGTTAGCAAGTTCTCCAACCGAGCAAACATGTCCGTAAACAAAACCCAATGCTAGGCAGCTTTTTTTTTCTTGCGCAGAAATTAGTGGAAGATAAATTGAATGTTATGATGATTGACATATTTACAGCATCGCCATGGCGGATGATTCGGAAATGGTGATATCGGAAGGAGAAGGCGATGAATCTTTCTAAGGTCCGTTGAAAATGCAATGTTCAATTGGTCTTGTTGGTTATCTCGGTTGTCTCTGAGTAGAATATGTGACCTCGTTTCATGCTCTTCAACGCAAAACTTTTTCCATGTCTCTCAGAAAACCGGTGATATGTTCCTTCTTTTGTACAAAACTTGCCCCCTCTTTTAAGTTGCCATCTTAATTTTTTGCGCCCAGTAGGTGTTTTGTGCTTAAATTGTCAAACAGCTTCTCCAAGCTGGTCTCTAGATTTCCTTTCTAGAAGTGGTTATTTGCTTGAGAAAGGGTCACGTTACCTACCTAGGGCACCCAGGGTAATTTGTTTTTCTCGATGGTCAGCGAATGATGGACTTTAGGCCTTACTAAGCCAACAGTTCCTTGCATTACGGGTGCTCGTGTCGTTTAACGAGTACTGGCTAAAGAATGCATGTTGGCTGGCTAATTATTGTTTGACTTGGCAAAAGTGTTACCGTATGCCGAGTCAATGATGTCGGCTCTCGCCCACAACGTGGATCTCCTGGCCGACACCCAAGGATTATCGGTTTGTGATGTTAACTGAATGGCTGGCATACACTCATATATTAGGCGAAGGTGATGCCGAGACAGTTTTCCATTGATCTCATCCCCCGAAAGGCAAAATGTAGTTTCGGGTAGGCATTTTTGGTAGCAATAGTTCGTGCCGCCAGCAGTGATCCCAATTTTTTGCGGGGAAGCTCCTGAGAGGGCGAATATTTTTTGTGGAAAATGGAACTAGGTGATTTCACTCCTACTCAAATCCTGTTATTCTCGAAGTCTTAGGTGTTTGTTGTGAATTTGAATGCACTGGCTTTGCGTCTACGACGCCACACCTCGCTGAACTGCCCTTTAACCTCTAGAATGTCTACATCACCAAGTCTTTATTGCGGCTGTAGAAGTTCAGAGGTATGAAAAAGTAGACTTACTAAATTGTTTACCTACTTATACTGCTCATTTTCACTTGTCAAATTCAATTGTTGACTTTTTCTTATGTGATCACTGAATGTTGGCGACGTTTGTTTATTCTAGTTATGTGTTTAAGCTGTTGCTTTCGTCCTTATGATTTTTTATACTCTTTTTCTGATTCCAGTTTTCCTTCATTAAAAAAGATTTTTGGTGTTTCCATGATGTTTATTTTTTTTTTTGTTGAATTAAAATTAATAGAAAGGAAGTAGAATAGGCTGTAATTCGCGTGTCGCTGAACAGTGTTACATAAGAATATGCGAGGAAAAAGCATTTTTATGGTTATTGGTCCCACGGACAAAACAAATCCGGGTGCTAACTCAGTTGGGGGGACCACGCGGCGGCGCGGCGCCCTGTTCGTCTGCTCCTCTGAGGCTTAGTCCAAGGGGCAGTTACTATTTCGTCGCCACGTGGCAGTTTCGAAATACGCGCCATCGGCGGACTAAGCCTTGGAGGAGCAGACGAACAGAGCGCCGCAGCCGCCGCGTGGTCCCCCCCCAACTAAGTTAGCACCGAAATGCCGTCACTGTTTGGACGCTCATGAGAAACAGTTCAGAGCGGCGACATAGCGCATAAATTCGAGTTGCCTGTCGCCATTTGTAGAAAAAACACGAATTACTGCAGAAGACGCAAATCGAGTTCTGCACGACGTCGCGCTCTGAACTTTTGCACCCACCAAATTGTTTTGCAGATTACTTGGTATAGACAGTGTGTAGTTCAGTTTTTGGTACGTCTTTGCAATTTTTGGCACGACTTTTTCAACCACTTGAACCGCATAGAGATGGAGTTTCCACTACATGTAACTCGAGGTTGTCGAATCTTGGATTAGTCACTGATTCCGTAGTGTGGGAACTATACGAGCCGTAATCTCAGCTGTGAAACAGCGTTCATGTAGAAATGATGATTTTGCTGAACCCCAGTGGTGTCATTTGCCGCTAAAACTGCGGTGCATGAACAGCTGGTAGAGGGTTCGCGAAGTGCATACGCCACTCAAATTAACTAGCCAAGAAAAAAAACTAATCTACAGCGCCACAAGCTGTGGCGGGCGTTGAGGTGGGACGTCTTGATGTTTCTTTTAATGTTCAATTCACTAGCGAACCTTGTCCATCCATGCAGACTCTTCACAAGGGACTCTTCACAAGGCTTACGATTGTTAAGAGTGCACGCATTGTTAGCGCACGTATCAACAGCCTCAATGAAATCGCTTCCAATTGGTGCTTTTTGATGCCCTTGATGTCATCTGCCTTTTGAGCTGTCGCAGCACCTAGAGGAAATTCTTCGTAAAATCTAGTCCGGGTTTTCCTGACTCAGGATCTTCTCCTCTAAGATAGAATTACCTAACTATAGAAAGATTTACCAAATGCTATCCAGGGCTTTATGCAGTCGCTACCCTGGACCGGGCTGGGTCTCGAGGTTCGATTTTACTAGATGAATTCAGTCCCTAGCGGCACGCACGCAAACGCCGATAGGCTGGGTCGTTTTGACCAGTCACTGCAGGAAACCACCGAAAAAGAGGGTTGTCCATCAGCAACCCCAACAGATTTCTCTTCAGGATTGTTACGTTGAAGCTTTAAGACTACTGTAACTTTTCTTCGAACGGCCAATACGAAGTTATACGATCCAAATTTCAAGGGTGAAGGTGACAGTCATAAGAGTAAGCCTGGAGAGGGGGGACCTCGGCGTGGGTGAGCCAATAAAAGTGTGATAAAAGTTCGAGTGTGTTAGATCACAGTAGGTACGGTCCGCTGTTTAGGTGAGAGTGCAGACGATGAGCATCAAATTGAGGCGGTAAAGGACTGAGTTCATAGACCCTGCTGCACACGGCCCCAAACATTCGAACGAGTTGCGATTTTTGTCGCGCGAGGGCACGTTGGATGTGGTCCGCTGGGACGGAAAACGTCCGCTTTCTGCAGTGATGAACTTTCCTCGCAGGAACACTGGGCTACTTTTGGGCAGGGGTGGACCTGGGATTCTCGCAACGAAAAATTTCGCACTGTAGAACGGAAAAGTTGGCTTCTACCTAAGTAATTATACCCGCGCACCTTCGCTGCTCACCAGATTTTCATGCCTTTATTTTTATACGCATTGATTAATCATTTTGATTTTGAAATTTCTTCACTATCGAGTATTGTATTCATCTGTTATCTGTCTACCTGTCTGTCTTTCTCTCAATCTATCTGCCCGTTTGTGCTTGTCTGCCTGTCCATCCATCGATCTATCTGCCTGTATGTCTACTATGTTTTATCTGTCGTGATAACGTCATGAACGAAGACAAATCAAAAGATTTAATACAACACGTGAGTGGTATTTTCGAAGCGAATCTGCGATTACAGTAAGAACCACTTCTTGAACCACATCTCTAATAGTCTATGCCTTTTTTGGCGGAACACTATCAATAGGTCCTAATGATTGTCCTGGTGGCAGAGTAACAGAAGGTTTGGTAGGCTTAGGCTTTCGTTTCTTAGTCGCACCAGGTTTATGCGTCGCTGGTTGCTTTTTAGTCCGTTTTGTGGTAGCCTTTGTAGCCGATGGAGGAGGGGCTGTCTTGGGAGGAGCTGTCTCGGGAGGAGCTGTCTCGGGAGGAGCTGTCTCGGGAGGAGCTGTCTCGGGAGGAGCTGTCTCAGGAGGAGCTGTTTCCGGAGGGGGAGCAGGAGCTGTCTCAGGTGGATTCGCGTGGTGTACTTTTGCAGGGTGCGTTTTAGCTTTCCCTTTTCTCGAACACAGAAACGGATGCTTTTCTGTTGCAACGGCACCACGTAACTTTCCTCTGATGAGATTGCCCTTTTTGATATCCTTCATGTGCATTTTGACTATTTTTCCTCTTCTCGGTGCTGGTGCTCCGCTTGAGCCAGTCCCTGAAAGTTCCAAATGAATAACTGCTTTTTATTTACAACTGACTGGCGCTCCAGTGTGGCAGCGCGGACTTCTCCACTTACACGTTGAACCGTCGCCCTCTGTAATGGAGCGTTCATAGTTGGCGATCGTACGTGCCATGAGGCGATTGGGCGATTAGGCGAATAATCCATTAGGCGAGTAAGCAAGTAGGTGATGAGAGAAGGATAAGTATTGATTTGTTGCCTCGCATGGCGAGCGATACGCCTAGCTCGCCTAGGCACTTCAGATTTTTCACTGACGAAATCGCCACCACTACCCGTTGCCAATCGCAGTTCGATCGCCAACTCTACGTCCATAGGGGCATAATTGGACGAGCTCCGTTAGAAACAGTACTAGAGTTGCCAAGAATTAGAAGAAGCAGCCCACATTGGGTAACTCTACTTTTTTTTGAAGCGATGGGTGTTCGGTTTGCCGTTGAGCTTTTTAGCGATTAGCCTCCTATTGCCGGTGGAAGTTGACTTCATTGGGGATGTTTCTTCACGAACAAGTCACCGTTATCCCCATTTCCCCTCACCCCTTCCTGGAGTCTCGATCTTTCAAGTGCAGAAAGGGTTATCTAGACATTGCCTGTCGTTGGTGAGAGGTGCGCACGGTGCTAGAGAATGATAAAGAGTACATTGTGACGCTGCCGAAAATACTGGCGGAACATGGGGGTAAGGCTGACAAAGTACCTGGCTCCAGTCAACTAGACAAATCGAAAAGCGACGAGGTACTTGAAGGCCGTCGAGTCAAGCAGCGGGATGGAGAATAATCGGATGGGTCTTTAATTACGAATACCCAAATAGAAAATGAGGCTGGTCCCACCTCCCGCTGGCTGGACAGAGATCGATTCGTCGAGGAATAACGAAGGTTTGAGGGTTTGGGGTTCAAGTTTAGAAAGACGGCTGGTTCGGTGGGAAACCAATTGAGGCATGGGAAACGCTCGAGAGATCGGCGGTGATTTGCTCGTCTACTTCATTGAAGGGAGCAATCGCGGTAAAGCGGTTTTAAAGATTTCTTTAGCGATGGATTGAAGCAGTTCACACGCGCAATTTGTCGCACTTTAGTACCTCCACTTCTTCAGACACATCCGCTGCGAACATTCTTGAGTAGGCTTCATAATCGGCGACTCACTCGTGCGACTGATTCGCCGGGTATGAATGTGACGTAAGTTCCTTGCGAACATAATTACGAGTAACTAATTTAACCCTTTCGGACCTGAATTTTTCCCGTGGAGAAATTTTCCTTCTAGCTATTGTTTATTACTTGTGAGCATATAGGTATCATTATGGCGAAATTTGGAAGCTATTCGATCACAAACAAAGAAACTAAGAAGCTTTGAAAATTGGCCCACCTTCTTAGTTTTTAAGCTTATGTCGAAACAATTCGAAATTTCATAGTTATGCCGAAAAAGTTTATAATCTTGCATAATATTATAACGAAGAGATTTTGATTTAAGGAATGGATCTACTTCAAGTATTTTAAGAAAAAGTCACACTTACTTGGCCGGTTGCGGGGTCAGCGCCCATTCATTGTTGCACTTGTACACAAATACTTGTAATACTAACAGCAACACACAATGAAATGGCAGGTTTAGCTCATAATTAGGAAGGGGAAGGTTGACTTAAGCAACCTGAGAGAGTTAGAAAACCATGCTGTGTTTGGCAAGTTGTGAAACAGTTTGACTGATGTGGGCAATTGCACGCAGAGGCGAGGGTTAATACGATCATGACTTTTGATTGTCGAAGGCGACGTGTCCTATAGGAAGCCTCAAATTATACGGCCTTTCCAAAGCAAACGTCGTAAATGCCACATTTGGCGTAATTTCTGGTACGAACTGGATGAGTAGACCGAATATGAAAAGATTGTTGTAGAGCTGATTCTGAGTTCACGCAAGATAATAATTAAGCATTGGATACGATTTTCGTCTCGTCAAAAATCGAGCACTAAGAAAAGCCCCCAGGTCGCCATGGCCATTCAAGAAGAGATGTATACGCCTAGATGTGCCTTCGAACGCTGATCTCAAATCTACCTTCCAAATCTGCTAACGATTCTCTGAACGGAGTTATGAAGCAAAACAGCGCAACGGTAGTGGTCGGGACTCACAGTCAATCGGTCCCTTATCGTGTTTACTGTTTTCCATTCTTCAGGAATACAGCTAAACGGCTTTTAATAGCCTATTTAACTGAATTCCTGAAGAATGCAAAACAGTAATTACGATAAGGGACCGATCCTACGACATTTTGCCTGTGAGTCCCGACCACTACCGTTGCGCTGTGTCGCGCCGGCATGGACGCCTTGCTCCTCGCATAAGCTCAGAAGCATCGGGGTTCACCCTGCTTAGGAGCGGCGTTCATGTCGGCGTGAGGGTACGATCGGGGAGGC